AAAAAAAAAAAAAAAAAAAAAGAAGTATAGTTTTTCTTATAACATGATCCAGTACACTCCTCCCCTACACAGGAAAAACCATTTGCCCCTAACTTGCCCTCATTCGCTTGTAGCTGTGATGAGCTACCATACACAAAACTATTCTGGTTCTATAAACAATCACTGCACAAAAGCTTTCATACCTGTAATTTACAGAACACAAAAGCAGACACTTTGCTGTACCAAGTCTTAATTATGGCATTCACACTCATCATCTTTTCCCACTAGTGTAAGTCACTTAGAACAGTTAACCCTTCCTTGGCAGAGGAATTCCAATTCTGTGTCTATTTAGTTTTTTACTTTTTGACACTAGGATTAAGTTTCCATAACAAGCAATACAACAGAGCTCCAACAATCACAGCACTTGTCTACAGTATTTTAAAAGGCTTGTGCCCACCTTTGTCAAATACATTGCACAATCATTCTGTAAATACACACCAACATAGTCTCTGTTACCTGAACCTATGGTCGCAACAGTAGTAGAGGAAGGAAATCCAGCTTTTCTTCCTGTAGACTCAGTTTTGTCCAAAGCAGCATTTAAAGACAGAAGCAACAAAAGAACAAAGAATGAAGGATTGACTTACTTTTTACCTTTCAGACAGCTATACAATGCAGACATTGTCTGGCGGGGCTTGAATCCACTTATTGCATTGCTTTCCCTGTGATGCCTTGGGCTGGGATTATACAGTACTCACGATCCAAATGCCATAAAATGCCCACACATACAGCACCTACTATGCGGAGACACAGCAGTGGCTGCTATTCAGACAGATCCATGATCTCTTGTTGGGAATAAGGAAGGCTGTGCTTATTCCATACATGGCTAGTCTCAGTGCCCTCCCCTTCTCCATTCTTATTTTCTCTCTACCTCTCCTCTTGCAATCAAAGCAACATCCCAAGTAAATCGTATTTTAAACTGCTTGACAGAACTGCCTTGGGGCAACTACCTTTGAGGTAATAGGAGAGAAAGGCAGTTCTGCTACAGTGCTTTTCAAAAGAGACTTTACAGCATTTGCAACAACACATGCAATTTCATGACTAGGCTGTTACTATCCTCAAGCTCGCACTTGTCTTATTACAGTTTTTGCTTTTTGTTAAAATGTACCAAAGTTTGAGATTTCTCTGTGCCTTGAATCTGATTTGGTCTGTAGATGGTGCCTGTTGCCCAAAATAAACTTTATTCCATTTATAAAAACTGCATTATAGTTATACCTGTGGCCGATTTATTGGCTACAAGCTGTGCCTTTGCTGCCACCTTTCTTTACTTTAGTTTTATATTCTTTAACACAGGGGTGTTACTCATGGCAAAATAATGAGATTAGTCAAATATGAACACTGTCAAGCAAAAAAGATTTTTTTAACATAAAACAAGTGTAATGTGTGTAATCCATGGTTGTATCCCTTCTCTTTGCTGCTCTTCCTTTTAAATCCTCATGTCTTCTCATGCTTGAGGAGAACTTCCCTTTGCAGCTGAGTGCCTCTTCCTGTAGTGCTGGCTCAGGTTGCAAACCTACAGACAGACACCATGTATCCATTCCAGAGACAAGGCAGTCTGCTGCAAAACAGAAGTTCTGCCCAGCATGAGAAGAGATACAGATTTAAAAAAAGAGCAGCAAAGAGAAGGGAAACAACCATGGATTACAGTAAGGCGCACATTACAGTATTGTTTCATGTTAAAAAAAATCAGAGGGTTTAATGTCACTTTAAGCTTCTTCTGCAGCCTCTTGCCTAGTGATACGCTGCAAGTTACAACATTACAGTCTGATCAGTGGAGGAGAGGAGACTGCACCAAAATTGATGACATCTCAGCCTTGGCCAAAATCACTAGACTGGAGCTCCAGGAGGTCTTTTTAATAAGATGTAGATCTTTTTTTAAAGTTATAGTGTTGTTGCATATTGTGACATGTGAGGAATGTATTCATACAGAATTATATACAGAGAAACACTACATTTTATACAGAGAAACACTACATTTGTCAGACAGTGTTGTCCCTATTTAAATGTAACAGTCACTTTCCACTTTCTTTTAAGCCTACACATTAATCACATTCTATATTCGACTTGTTACACAGTCCAGGCCATCAGTGATAGTATTGCACATATACAAACACACCCACTTTACAAGTTTGACAAAAATAACTACACTATGCTTTGACGACGACTATACAATTTACATAGCTACCAGATGACACATTCACTACACATTTGGTTAGTGAATATTTAAAAGTACAGAAGCTAAATTTTAACAGCTGAAGAGGCCAGTAAATGCTTCAGGTTAAACAAATTTTACTAGTACTACTTATCACCCTACACACCCTCTCCACCCATAACAATCTAGCATGCATAATGGTATTACCAGGAAAAGGGCAGTGAATGTCCATCAACATTGGAAGGGTTCTCTATGAGGAAAGTCCCCCCCCCCCCCCCCAAAAAAAAAAAGTATCAGTGTCCACTTTTGAGGGGCACAAGATTCTTCTGCACCCCTGATACCCAAAAGGTTGAGTTAGTATGGGGTGTGGTTTATGTGTAAACTAAATGCCCCTCCCTGGTAAACTGCAGAAGGGGTCCGTTGTACCACTTACTGGTTTATCCAATGTGCAGGTATGAAAGAGTTAAAAACTTTAATTACACACACAACCTTTTAAAAGGTCTCCTTCAAACTGCAGTGGAAAAAATAATGGAGTGTTGAACTTATAAAATCTGATAATTTTTTTTAAATGGTATTCGTCAATTCTTCACTTTTAATAGAATTCCTTACTAAAGCTGACCATGCAAACACAAAGACCAAAACTAGGAGGACGACACACATGCATTTCCATAACACTTAAATCAGGAACCCAAAACAGGAAGGCACAGGAGCAGAAGGCAACAGAAAAAAAAAAAAAAAAAAAAAAAAAAAAAAGGAGGTCTCCAATGTTCCAAGATTAGATGGTTAGAATAAAGAAGTCAAATGTTCAGTCTACAGTTCACTGGAAAATGACTCTTCTTCATTGTACTCCAAAACAAGTTCCAAAGGCCATGTCTTTAGGATGAAATAATCCATATGGCTTTAATGACCTGGGACTGAACTCACTGTGTACACACAGTAGACTGTCTTTCCAAGCCTCTACAGAACAGAGATGAACTTTTGCTTCTAAAAAGGGTGAATAATACTATAAAACGCTCAAAAAAAATAAACCATACTCCCAAACATGGAAACCGATGATAATGGCAGACACATTTTACATTGCTCTAGGGAGATTTTAACTTGCATGAAGTCCGTACAAAAAAAAAAAATTTTAAAGAAGAGCTCCAGGCTTTTTTTTTTCTTTTCCGTTGCATAGAGATCGTGCAATCAGATACGGATGTACCTTGACCTTTGAGTTCAGCCTGTATCTCTTTAGAAGTTTTCCTTGGCTTTTAGTCTACCATTTACACTCTCCTTCAGCTCAATCTGGAGTCGATTTTACTCTTGTGACCACCTCCAGGAAGGCCTACATAGACCTTAAACTTAATATTCATAACGGTTGTCTTAGTTCCTAGTTGGAGATGGTCTTATAGCCTTTATATTTTACATGCTAGTCTATAAATTTTCTTTCAGATGGCCTCAGATAACTCTTTTGCCTTCTCTGATCCATGTTTAGTATGATGAACATGATACCAAACTGCATCCATAAATAGGCCATCTGATTAGGGAAGACCATGAGTGATACTAATACAGAAAACAACTTAATTATCACCATGATTTAATTATTTATAATCTTTTCGATACCATCAAATCTGTCCATGTAATTTTAGAATATCTTTTTTTAACACTTTCTTTGCTTTACTCTACAACAAACCAAAGGCATGCCGGTATGCATGAGGAAATTGGTCCTATTTCCAGGAGGAAGGAAGCATGGTTTCAATAAGCTATAAGTTTACTAACAAATCTGTCCACATCTTTAGAAGTGCAGCTACACTAACAGTTTTCTCTTACTTCCCTGCAAAGTCCAACAAATACCGTTTGTCAATCAGCACCTGGCCACATCTAGTCCAGCTCACTGTTTGGATTGGCAGCACTCTTTTGCTGAAACCCTTCCATTATGAGCTGCAGTATCTGGGAAGGAAGTGTGCGAGGCATGAAGGGAGATTTGTCTCAGTCAGGGAAGGTAAAAAGGAAGGGTTTTTACTTTATGACGCTTATGCATCACATAGTAACTGGATTTGGTACTTGTTTAGACTGTCATGAGTTTTTAGTTTTACTTTAGAGCCACACTCTGGGCAGAATGATAATTTACACACTGCACTGGGTGTGTTAATCATCATTAAAAAAAAAGCGGTGTTCTGTGCAGAGGGCAGCCGCAAAGCAGAAAAATCACCTTGCAGCACACTGTGCCCAAAACAGAATGCCCAGCTTCCGGGCACTGAAGGGAGCAATGCATCCAGAGCTGTACAGTGCTCTGTTGCATAACCTGCCCTTTTTCATAATCCTCCATTCACAAAAGGTCTTGTATTTTTTTTTAAAGAATACTGTAAAAGACATCCTGTGATTGGTGGGGGGGATTTGATAGCCTCTAATCTATTCAGTGCCCAAAATCTGGTAGTTATGTGCAGAAGCCAGCATGCTGCAAGGTAAGATTTTTTCACTTTGCAACCGCCCTCTGCACATAGCACCCAGCTTTTAATCCACTTCCCTTTTACATACTATATACTAAATTCACACAGACTCCCATCTCCAGAGATTTGTCCACCCCCGACATTCTCAGGGCTGCAACGAAGAGGGAAAAAAAAACAAAAAAAACCCACACAAACAAAAAATTGCAGCTATATCATAGGATTAGAAAATAATGATGTGAAAAAGGTGGTGGCGGTGTAAAGAATACTTTAATTCACAAACCAAATGCAGATAAAGTGGACATTTTTGTGGCTAGAATGGGACATGTATTAATATTGGACAGTGTACACTGGTATTTCCTGTAGAATAGCAGCAGCCAAAAATTACATACATCATTTAACTATGGCTCCCTTGTGAAGACATATGAGCAGTACAGCTCATACAGACACTACTGTATTCATGCAGGCAGTGAGCTCCTCCGTACTGGAACACATTACAACTAAATAAATGTCTGTGGTTGAATTTGAAGAAAAAAAAAAATGTAAACAGCTTTACAAAATTAATATTCAACCATCCCACAAGATACTGTAAGGGAGAACATCCAGAAATGATATATTACACACACACAGGCCAGATTATGACCACCCCATCAGTACTTCGTTGGGCCGCCTCGTGACTCCACGAGATGTTGAAAAAGGTGATGCGAGGAATCTGACACTGCACTGTTGCCCTTCTGTTGTCTTTTCCAACACTCTTGCCACTCTCCGTTCTGCCCTAACGTTGACTAGTCACTGACGGCCACAATTCGCATGTTCAGACCCAGATTTTCGGCTGACAGTCCAGTCTTTAAACACTTAACAACAGCTGCTCTTGAACATTTAACGAATTCTGCTGTTTTGCTGGTACTCGCTCCATGGCTCTGAGCGCCAACAATCATCCCACGTTCAAAGGCTGTTAAATCGCATTGTTTACCCATATCTTCAGAAAAATAAAATCACTTCTACTGTCGTGGTAAATAACCTGCTTCCCAATTTATAATGGTCTGGCCCTCTAGCAACTTCAGCGCAAAATTATAGCTAATTTGCCTACAAACTAGGGTTGCCACCTGTCCAGGATTCACCCGGACAGTCCGGGTTTTGAATGCTGTGTCCAGGTTTCATGGCAGCAGAAACTCGGACACAAAATGTCAGGCAGACAGGGGCAACTAAAA